CAGATAAAGTAATAACTTCTCAACATCTTAGCTGCTTTTAAATTTTCTTCTGACCTTCCAGGATTCAGCAGGAGATATTGAGGCCACATCAGGATGTCCACAATGCAGTTGGGCTCCAGTTTCAGTGGGGGGGCTCCCATACTAACAGGACTCTGCTCAGTTGCCTTGGCGTGGACACAAGAAACGTTGTGAGTTAGGCATCAGTAGCATTTTCCATTACATGGCTTAAACTGCTGCTAAAATGGACCAAAAAATTCTGTTGGTATTTTCCAATGTTATAGTGTTGCTAACACTTGCTCATTCCCAATTCCAAGGTGTTCACTGGGAGGAATAAGCAGTCTGTGACTGTGCCTGCTTTTGCATCCAGCCTGGTGAGTCTTGCTGCAGTAAATGTGAATAAACGTCACTGGTGTGTGTGGTAGGAGATCAGACAAACTGTCTTGTCTGATTGTCTCTGAATGGAGGACAGATTCAGTAGTACTAAAGCATACTGGGCTTTGTCGCTTCCCTGTGGGACCGGTTGCTCTTTATGTATCTTTATTCAGTGTTTCCCAGCTGGAATATCAGTTTTTGTCACTTTCAGGGAATGCTTGAGCCAACCAAAGATGCTGTGCCAGCTGCCTGCTCTTCAGGAAGCACAGCTGTTACAGCACAAGCACCTCCAGAGCCCCGGGATATACCGGGCCCCTCAACACATTCAGCGCAGGTAAACTTGTCTGTTTGATTTGACTTATTAAAAAAAAAATCACAAAGCATTACACATGAATAGAATAACTTAAAATGCCATTAAAGAAGGTCAATTTTATGTCATGGCAGGAGGAGCTCCCTTCCAGCCAGCTGGACTGGAGCGGTCGTGGCCTTAGCAGCTCTCAGGACGGTACGTCCCCTCGCCGAGCCCCACATTTCTGGGGTCGGAAGTAGACTACCAGTCATGGCTTCTATTATCAAACCAAACCTTTTGTTAAGATTTAACTCTGGGCTTCTCACTATCTTCACAGCATGTGCTTTTTCTCTTTGAATTTACTGTGTTTCCCCTTAAGGCACTTTGCAGTAATACGGGATCACAACATGTCATCAAAATATAATATTTTCCTTTAATAATAATTTCCTCTCAAGAATAACAATCATCCAGTATTTTGAAATTATGACCAAAAACAGGGGAAACACTGTGCTGATCTCCCTTTTTGCCCTTTTTCTTCACCTGTTGTATTTACCTGTTGTCCTGTTGAGAAAAGATTTATCTCAGTATTTATCAGTCTAATTTATTTATGGACAATTTCTAATGAACTCACACCTGATGTGTAAGAAGCCTATTGAAGACATGATGTGCATACTAACCTGTTTCTTTTCTGTTTTGTGGTTGACTCACTGAGCATGAAAATAACATGCACTCTGAATAATTAACAGATTTGTTCTTCTAAAGGATCTTTTTTTTTTT